CAAGAATTGGAACACTGAAATGAAGTTTAAAGAAAAGGATAAGTTGGGGCTGAGGATTTAGTTCAGTGGCACAGCACCTGCCTGGCAAGCATGAGGTCCAGAGTTTGAGTCCTGGTACCCCCTCCCAAAAAAGGAAAAGTTAGACAAAGCATGGAACTATAGTGTAGAGATTGAGAGTGCAGAGATTGAGAGATCTCATGTATTATGTTAAAGTAAAGAAATTGGATTTTATGTAAAGAAGCCAGTCTTGAAATAAGATTGTTGAGATTTGAATCTGTGAAAGGGTACTCTGTGTGGTGGAATGTGGCAAAATCAAAGAGGTTGTAGCATTTATAGGGTGATGGGGGAGTTTATTCAGAGTCCTGGTGACCAAAGCAACAAAAGCAAGCTGGAGAATTATTTAGGACCTATTGACCGTATAGGACAAGAAAGATACATCTAGGATAATTCTCAGACTAATTAGGTAACTGTTTTGGTAATGGTTGTAGACATGTCCAACCTGTTGCCTGCAAGTTTTTTATTATAACATAGTCATGGCCAACCCACAGGCCATAGGTTTAACACTTCTGGTAGAGGGGAAGGCAGTACATTTATTTGCAGACATAATAACTTTATTATATCTAAGGAACAACCAAAGGGAGATATTTGATAGTTTAGTACAGTTCTGTAGTTTAGGGATGGGCTCTGGACTGAAATCATCTATTTGATAGTCTTCAAAATATAGATGCTACACCTAGAAGACTGAGACTGAGCCAACCTAAACTATGTGGCAAGACCCTGTCTCAAACAAAATAAATAAGTAGATGCTAGTTGAAGCTATGGTGAGAGATCACTAATCTCAGAGTATTATGAAAAGAGGGCTAAGGACAGCACCCTAGGGAACACACTGACATTTTAAGGCTCAAGAAAAAGTCTGGAAGTCTATGAAATAGGCCAGTAAGGTATGATTAGGAAAATAAAAGCAATAATTCTAAGAATGCAAGAGAGTTACCAGGTAGAAAAATACAGTAGAAGCCAAGTAAATAAGGATCAAAGATTGCTAGGAAGTTCTAGAGACTAGCTAAATTGAAGATCATGAATTCATATTAGCACTGGATGATTTTTTTTTTTTTTTTTTTTTTCGGTACCGAAGATCGAACTCACGACCTTGCGCTTGCCAGGCAGGCGCTTATGCCACTGGGCTATATCCCCAGCCCCTCTGGATGATTTTGATAATTTTATACTCAGCACCCCCAGTTTTTAAGCTGTTATCTAAGTATTGGGATTTTGCCTGGTATGGAAGGACAAAAGGAAAAGACAGTTCAGAATATTGTTTGATTGATTGATTGTTTTTTTGAGACAGGGTCTTGCTGTGTAGTTCAGGCTGGTCTTGAACTCACTATGTAGCCCAGGCTGGCCTCGAATTCTTGGCTATCCTCCTGCCTCAGCCTCCCGAGTACTGGGATTACAGGCGTGCGCCATGATGCCTGGTCCCAGAATATTGTTTTAAAAGTGAGTAGATTTTGGAGTTGCTTCAAAATTGTAAACAGTTGGGCATGGTGGCACATGCCTATATTTGGGAGGCTGAGATAGGAGGATCTTGGCAAGTTCGAGGCCAGCCTGAACTACATCACAAGACCCTGTCTCAACCCAAAACAAACAGAAACAAAATTGTAGAGAAGTAGTAAAGATAGCTAAATAAGAGTTGATAAGAAAGGGCTGTATAGGTTCTAGGTTCTTGATATAATAAAAAATGGAAGAAAATAGATCATTTGGTGAGAGATTGCAGTTCAGTACTTAAGAGGTGGATCAATAATTACAAAGGGAAGCTGCTCAGGCTTTTCAGTTTTTGAAGTTTTAGATAGGTCATCTACAAGGATGTTGCCTATGGCAGGACCTAGGGTGGAGAAGGCTTGTAAGGCAGGAGCTCAAGTTTAGGATAAATATGAGAGATAAATAGAAGTTGGATATATAGATGACAGACACAAGGGTAAACTACTAGAAGGCATTTTCAAAGGAAAAGGCATTTTGTTTTTCTCAGTGGCGTGATGACGTGGAAATGGTGATGGAGGGCTAAAAGAAGGCTTAGTGGTAGAAAATAAGCAGCACCTGTACTTAAAAAAGTATTTGAGAATACCAGGCCTGGTGGCAAATGCTTGTAATCCCAGCATCCTAAGAGGCTGTGGTAGGAGGATTGCAAGTTTGACCCGAGCTGGTGCAGTTTAAGGACTTAGTAAGACGCTGTCTCAAAATAAAAAATAAAAATGGGTTAGGGATGTAGCTCAGTGCAAGGACCCTAGATTCCATCCACAGTACCATGAAAAGAAAAAAATACATATGAGAGTATTACTGTCCTTCAGGAGAACCAACATTTAATTAAGCTAGGGAAATGAAAACAGCATTCTCCAAAGAGCTTTACATGTCTGGGAGAGAAGTGTGGTTTTTTTTTTTTGTTTTTTGTTTTTTTAATCTGATAGGAATTCTGGAGGCCTCAGTGAAAATGTTCGGGAAGGAGAAGAGCAAGAAGAAAATGGCATGAGGGAAAGGAATATAGAAAAAATTCAAAAGTACATGTATGTATATTGACTATTTAGGGCAGCTAAGGATGGTAACAAGGGGAAGCACAATAGAATTAACTGATCTCAGGAATCTGAATGGCACTTTAGAGTGAAGTTGTTAATTTGGCACAGGCTGCACCACATTGGAGTTGCGGACCTGTTAGGACGAAGAGGTTGAGGCCTTTGATTAGAGTTGAGGAAGACAGTTAATTCCCAGCATTGCATGATAGAAACATTAAAAAGATTTTTGCATCTCCCCTATTCCTGCCAAATCTGTATCATTGCTAGTTTTCTAACTTTCTAAATTACTTATTTTTAGGTCTTGTTTTTAGCCACCATACGTGAAATGCAAGTGAAAATACCTTGTGCATTACTTTATTGATTACTGTATAGATATGCCTTTCTTGCCCAATTTGGATTACAGGAAAAATTTCAACATAACAGATTGGTCAAAATGAATTTTACCTAATCAGAATTTCTGGTGTTGGTAACTTGATGACTTGAGGTGATTATTGATTGATTGATTGATTGATTGTACTGGGGATAGAACCTAAGGTGTTTCCACCGAGTTATATCTCCAGCTCTTTGCTTAGTTGAGTCTCATTAAATTGCCCAGGGTGTGCTCAAATTTGTGATTCTCCTGCCTTAGCCTCACAGAGTACTGGGATTACAAATGCATACCACCATGTCTAGTTTTGTGGTTTTTTCGGTTGTTCAAGCTAATCCTCCATTATTTACCTATTTCAGTTATTGACCATTTACATTAAATTCACTTACATTGATGTTCAGGTTTTTTCCTATCACAGATAGAGTAGGAAAAATAGTCTGAAAGTTAATCTGCAGAAAATTCATGTAGAAGCCAGGTGGTTTGGCACTTACCAATATCCCAGCTACTTTGGAGACTGAGATAAAATGATAGTAAATTCGAGGCTAATCTGGGTAATTTACCAAGATTCTGTAAATTCCCAAAAAAAGGTCTGGAATGTAGCTCAGGGGTAGAGAGCTTGCCTAGCATGTGCTAGGCCCTGTGCTCAATCCCATTTAACACTGCTGTGTGTGTGTGTGTGTCTGTGCATGTGTGTGATATGCATTTATATGAAAAAAACTCTGGAAGCAGCGGTAAAATTTTTTCTTTGTAGCACCGCCCCCTGCCCCCTCCACCCTTTGGAGGTAGGGTCTTCAGGATCTTGCTACTTAGTCCAAGACTTGAACTTGCTGTATGGCTCAAACTGGCCTGGAACTCACAATCCTCTTGCCTCATCTTCCCAAGTGTTGGGATTACAGGTGTGTACTACCACACTGGACTAGGAAAAACCTTTTAAATGCCTAAAACTAGGTGGAAATGCTTTAAAATATCTTAGGAGTTACCAGACAAACTAATGGTTGAACATACTGTTTTGATGAAAGATATTTTAACCCTCTATTGAACCGTTTAGGCCAAATTCTATTTGGTCATTTTTCTTCTGCCTTGCCAGATTACCTACTACAGCTCATTTACCCAGTGGCCAAACAACATTATACATGTTTTTTTTTTCTATAATTTTCTTATTCACTGATATATTAAAATATATTCTTAGCCAGGTGTGGTGGTACATGCCTGTAATCCCAGCACTTAGGAGGCTAAGACAGGAGGATCGTTTCAAGTTCGAGGGCTACAAAGTGAGTTCAAGGCCTGCCTGGACTACATCGTGAAACTCTACTTTGCCCCTCCTGCCCAAAAAGATGTCCAACCTGGTTTTGAAAATAGAAGTACTCCTTGAGTTGAAAAAAAGAAAGGTAGAAAAACGTGAGTCTGTAGATAACTAACCTGTAGGCATAGTTCATACTTCTTTTTTTCAGGTGGATAATGACATTCTAGTTCATGGTTAAAGAAATGACAACTCCTGAGTGTGACTTGCAGTGGAATATATGAAAATATGCAGTATTATTTGTGTCTGACTGAGTGGGAGGAAGAGGAATAGTGCCTCGTGGGTTTTTATGGCATTCTGAATTTTGAGCAGAATTTAGCAATTAGTGAAATTATGTTGTTGATTATTAGGAAGTTTGCATGATCTAACATGCATCATCTTAAAATCAAACTATCTTTTACTGAATAGAGTGGTAAAATTTTTTTCTCGGCTTACTGAGGAAAATGTGAACTTGATCTCAAAAATCTTTAACTTTTTCATTTTATAATATTTCCAAAGTAACTCTTGATTTATTTGGTAATCAATTTATTAAAGTATGTATTTTTAAATGGTTGGTTTACTGATGGAACAAATTTGGTTATAGCATATATAATGGTTTGTTTAATCTTTAGTGATAAACGTCCCTAAAAGATTATATTCAAGTTGGCTAGAAAACATTTTTCTTTTTTCTTTTTATTAGGAACATGGTAGGTTCCCTCATATTAGGGATTTTTTCTACTCTGGCTTATGTTAACATATCATTACTGACTTATTTTGTATTATAAAAATATTACAGCTGTCCCTTTCCCCCCAACACATCGATTGACATCTGAGGAAGTATTTGATATGGATGGGATACCCAGGGTTGATGTTCTGAAGAACCACCTAGTAAAAGAAGGTCGGGTTGATGAAGAAATTGCACTTAGAATTATCAATGAGGGTGCTGCCATTCTTCGGAGAGAGAAAACCATGATAGAAGTAGAAGCTCCAATTACAGGTAAACTGTGTATGTTTTAGATGCTATTTTTATTGTACCATTATTTAGTTGCTTCAATACAAAGCTTTTTTTTCAATCATGTCATATACTAAATTAATATTACATGAACAATATCTTGATTTGCAAATTATTTTCTGTGTGTTTAAAAGTTTTGCCTATTTGTATTGGCCATACTTCAGGTTGACTGAATACTTCCTTTGCTTTCACTCATTAGAGGCAAATACTTTGATGTTATATCAGATCCCAAAGGTGATCATTTAGAGAGTAACAGAAAGTATTGAGTTAGAATGGAGACTTTAGTGCCACTGTTACAGTTTTGTGATAATACTTAAATCATACCTATGATTTAAGCATATCCTTACTCCTAAAAATAGGAGCTTTATAAATTTAGGTGAAAAACTTGTCACTGGCTAGGCATGGTGGTCTGTAGTCCCACCACTTGAGAGGCTGAGGCAAGAGGAGCGCCATGAGTTCAAGGCCAACTTCCACTACATAATGAGTTCAAGGCCAGCCTGAACTACACAGAGAGACCCTGTCTCAAAGAACAAAACAAAAAAAAACAAAAAAAAAAAGAAATAAAAATTTGTCACTGACTTCAAATTTTATGATGTCTGTTATATCTTGTTCTATGTTTTGGGCACATGAATGCTTGGTTATACATCACCCTTATCATGACTCCTCAGAGACCACTTCCTTACCAGTCATTACTTGATAACATTTACACTATCTCTTATGTAAAAGAAATTAGAATTTAAGTATTATTTGTTATTTCAGAAGGTTTTTTTTCATATCTAATAATCTTCTTGTTTCAGTGTGTGGTGACATCCATGGCCAATTTTTTGATCTGATGAAACTTTTTGAAGTAGGAGGATCACCTGCTAATACACGATACCTTTTTCTTGGTGATTATGTGGACAGAGGTTATTTTAGTATAGAGGTAATAATCATATACTGTCATTTGATTTGTTCTTAAGTGTTAAATAGATGATTTCTTTTACTTCCTAATATACTAAATTTCTAAAACTATCTGTGTTTGGTTCTTTTCAATACCTCTGCATATTCTTCAACTTATAGGTATTCTTGTTTCAGACTATTTAATTTCGTTTGTATTAATCTGTATAATTATAATTGCCATATTTTCCATTGGAAATTATGGGCAAACTGAACAGTCTTTATTGCCCTGTTAGGAGTTTAAGAAGATGTGTGGCCGGGCATGGTGGTGCATGCCTGTAATCCCAGCACTCGGGAGGCTGAGGCAGGAGGATTACCTAGAGTTTGAGGTCAACCTGGGCTACATAGTGAGTTCAGGACCAGCCAGGACTACACAGTAAGACCCTGTCTCAAAAAAAATATGAAGATATGTTGTTTATTTGTATGTTTATCTTTCTTGTCCCTAAAGGTATTAAATCATACAAAAAAGTTTAAATTTTCTCTGATTATTCAAAGCATATTATGATTCTTTGTTGTTTAATTAAGGCCCAGCTATGCCATATAGAATCTTCGTGTATTCTAAATATATCATACAGAATTTTTCTGTATTCTGAAATTGGTTTTAAAAGCTTAAGAGAAACTAAAATGATCTGTTGATCATCATTTAACAAGATGATTCTTTTTGCTCTTTTTTTTTGCTAACATGTAAAGTATGGCAAATACAGAACAATCTGTATTTTCTAACAAGCATTTTTATTTTTTTTGAAATGAAAGCAGAACCATATAACATTACTCTGTTACTTGCTTTCTTCATACATCTTACACTGTGAATGTCTTTCCAAATTAGTAAATATAAATCTACACCTTCATCTTAATAGCTGCATTGTCTTTCACTGAATAAACAAATCACAATTTCTTGTTGGGAGTTCCTTAAGATGTTCCCAGGTTTTTTGCTGTTATAAATGATGCCTTGGTGAACTGTTTGATTAATTCATCTCTGCATATTCACCCTGCTATTTCTGTAGAGCAGATTCTAGAAAACTGCTGGGTCAAAGCTGTACTGATAGATATTTTTGTTGTGCATTTAATATGTTCCTGGCATGCTCTAAGCACTTAACAGATACTAATCTAATCCTCACAACATTGTTACGAGGTAAGTGCTGTTATCTTATCCATTTTATAGATAAGAAACTTGAGGCTTGAAAAGGCTAGGTAACTTATCCAAAGTCACATTGTTAGTAAATGGCACAGTAAGGGAGTCTGACTCTAAGTCTATGTTATCAATAACTTCTCCTAATTGATATCAAAGCTTTACCTTTTGAATCTTCATTTCAGTGTTTTCAGCATACTTTCCTTTTTGAGCTTTGTTAGGATCCCCATTGTGGAACAGAGTTTTGGACTCTATTCCTCCGGCTTCCCTTACAAATTTTATTACTGTGAATTTTCTTCCTCTCATTCATAGTTTTATTCCCAACCCTTTAACTTTCTCTGAATTACTTAAGGGCTTCAAGGAAATTAGAAAATGGCTCTTTTTAGTAAAATGTTTTGGGGGATTTGGTTAAAAAAATAACAATTTTAGGAGGCTTAGTTGGTACCTAAGCATGTTTATATATAGGTTTGTTTGGGGTTTTTTTGGTACTGGGAATCAAACCCAGGACCTCATGCTTACCAGGCATGCACTGTGCCGCTGAGCTAAATCCCCGGCTATGTTGGTGTATATGTACTTGTATAAAATAGTTTATAACTGACTCATTTAATACATTTAATTATAAAAGGAAAATAACAGAATCAAAACAAGTTTGTGTTGAGTTCATTAACCATGTCCCTGGTTTTATTACTTTTTTCTTTGTTAATAAAATGAAGATTTGTTTTATAATATTCCTCTTATTATGAAATTGCATTTTCTTTGAATTAGGTTAGATCATAAGCTCTTTCTTTATGTAAGGCAACATTTATGATCAATAAAACAAAAAAAAAATTTGGCCTTTCTCTTTACTAAGTAGCATTGCATAATGATTAAGGGACCAGAATCCTCTTATTATTTAGGGGTTTTGTGATTTTGGACAAGTTATTAAAGCTTATTGCTTCAGTTTTCTTATTTGTAAAGTAGAAATGATAATAATAAGTACTTTATAGTGTTATTTGAGGGATTTTAGTTATATAGTACTTGACCCATTGTAAGTACTTAAATGTTAGCTGCTATTATTTTTGACATTATTATTATATTTACTAATGGACCTAAGGAGGAAGCCATTAATTGTTTTTGGTATTGAATAATACATAAATCTAGAGTAGTGGATTATTTGACTCATTGATTCAACAAATTGCTCATCTCCTCTTTGCTAGATACTTTTCTAGGAGTAGAGAATCAAAAGGAGTGAGGTAACAGTCTGTGGTTTCATGGAGCTTGTATTTTAGTAAGCAACAAAGATATAAAGAGTAATAGAGATCATATGAGTAATGGAGTTAAAGGAAAAGGAATAAAGATAAACAAATTAGTTAAGCAAAAATACAAGATAAATTCACTGGAAACATTTTCTTTTGCAGTGTGTCTTATATTTATGGGTCTTGAAGATTCTATACCCAAGCACATTATTTCTTCTGAGAGGCAATCATGAATGCAGACACCTTACTGAATATTTTACCTTTAAGCAGGAATGTGAGTACTTTCATAGGAAATGTTTTCATTTCCTTGTTTCTGTTTTATGGGCTGATATAGGTAAAAATTATGAAGACTGTACAGTGTAGTACAAATTTTGTATCCACATATATAAATATTTGAAGATTATCAAGCACTGTTTAGGTTTTAATGGTATTTAATTTTAAAATATTCATCTTAGTATGTCCTGTTAAGTTGAACTTTTACAATATAGAAATAGTTTAGTGTTTTATATATATTTTAAATTCTTTAATGCTTTGGGGTAATATATAGTTTCAATGTTAAAATTATAAAAGTTATTGTTGCATTTAAATTTTTGTTCCCCACTCTTAAGATCATTGCAGATCAGTTAATGAATTGGAATTTTTTTTTGTTTTTTTTTGTTTAGACAAACTCTTGCTAGGTAGTTCAGGCTGGCCTTGGTTTACGTAGCTCAGGCTGGGCTCAAACTCAGGGCAGTCCTCCTGCCTAAGCCTCTTTTTTTTGTTTGTTTGTTTTGTTTTGTTTTGTTTTGTTTTTCTCCAGTACCAGGAACCGAACTCATGACCTTGCGCTTGCCAGGCAGGCACTTTGCCGCTGAGCTAAATCCCCAGCCCCCTGCCTAAGCCTCTTGAGTGCTGGGATTACAGGCATGCCATCATGCCAAACAAAATTCTTTTTTTTTTTTTTTTTCTCAAGTTACCAAGTGTGTCATTTAGTAAAGCCTTGTCTTTCTTAATTAAAAGGAACTTGTTTGTCTGCAAGAAGCAGGAGTTCATTCTAATTGGTGTAACTGAAGAAATGTCACAAGTTATCTAGTAATGAGGTAGGAGATTAGGGCATGGCCGGCTGGCTGGGAGACAGGATACAACCTGTCAATCATGAAGGTCCGGACAAGAGGCTAAAAACAAAATGTAACCATGTAACCTGATCTGAAATAGATGTGGTCTGTCAATCACAGCCAGGATGCTTGGACAAAACAACTTCCAACAGACTGAATCTTACAGTGGTAGATGATCTGTAATAGAGTTTCCATTGTATGCTGAATATTAACTTGGTTGTATTATATGATAGTCCTTTTGTTATTGGGTAGCTTGTTTGTTTCTGTTTTTGAGATAAGGTCTCACTGTGAAGTTCAGGCTGGCCCTGAACTCACTTTATAGCTCAGGCTGGCCTTGAACTTGCGGCGATCCTCCTGCCTTGGCCTCCTGAATGCTGGGATTACAGGTGTGTGCCACCACTGGCCTCTGGTAGCTTGTTTCTAAAAAGCGGCTTGCCAGCTAAACATTGCCAGGTCCTGTATTGCTTGCCTCTCCTTTTGGAGTTGGATTCCTGGTGGTTCTCACCTTGAACAAAGAATTGAATGAAATGAGCAAAAAGCAGTAGCAGAGTTTATTCAAGAAAGTAAAAGAGAAGAATGGGAATGGAACTGGCTCTGCAGAGTGAGCTTGGACCAAGTTAATAGAAAAAGAGGGTGAGAGCAAGATAAATGTACACGCTGTGTCTGGGAAACACAGCATGGGCTATTATAGAAAGTTATGATAGCCCAAAATTCTTAACCTACAGTGTCACTTTTCAAATAACTATAACTGTCATAATCTCTAAGTCACTGTATGGCACAATCAGTACTTGGCATTTTTTCACATCTTAAACTGGTGTTTGTTAAATTAATATTCATGACTACATTAAGCCATAAAGTTCTAAAATAGGAATTAATTTATCCCTTAGTATCTGTGGAGATTTATTCTAGGACCCCCTGTAGCTACCAAAATCTGCAGATGCTCAAGTCCCTTACATAAAGTGCTATAGCATTTGCATATAATACATGCATATCCTTCCATGTATCTCTAGGTTATTTATAATACCTAATATAATGTTAATGCTATCTAAATAGTTGTTATACTGTATTGTTTAGGGCAACAATCTTCAACTTTTTTGGCACAGGGGACTTTTTTGGGGGAGGTGGGGAATGGTTTCTGGATTAGATTCTCATGTACTGGAAAACAGATATGTCAGTAAACTCAGGTTAGAAACTCTGGTTTTTGTATATATAGATAGATTTTTAGTATTTGAATATTGTAATATTAACCCACAATGTACAACCCAAACTTTAGGGAATGATGAAAAGGAAAAGATGTCTGTGCATGTTTAGTACAGAGGCAAGATTTTGTTGCTTGTTTTTTGTGGTTGTAAGGAACTGAACTTGGCTTTCACATACTGAGCTACATACATCTCAACGCTTTTTTTATTTTTTAATTTTGAGACAGCTTCTCACTAAGTTGCTAAGTTGTCCATCATGGACTCTAACTTGTGACCCTCCTGCCTCAGCCTCTCAGAGTGCTAGGATTACAAGTATGTGCCATTATGCCTGCTTCCCTGAGTAGTTTCTATCTGAGATTGGGTGAATCCATAGGAGCAGAATACACAGATACAGAGGGCTAAATGTAATTTCAGAATTACTGAGACTTAAAACATCCAATAAAGGTCATATTAGTGAAGACTTACAGTAAAAGAAGGAAAAACAGCAATGGGCAATGGCAGAGAAAAAATACTCATGATAACCTCAAGGATGAAGCCCATAACCTAGATGAATAAGAGGAGGCACATAACCTAAACGTTAAACGTATAACATAAAACCTGTGGAAAGTACATGTCTCCCCTGAAAGCCATCAAATTAAAATTGTTATTAAATCACAGTGCTGGAAAATAGGTCTGTCAATAAACTCAGTTTAGAAACTGGTTGCTGTATATATACATAGATTTTTAATATTTGAATATTATAATATTAACCAAAACATTCTGGGCTACTCTCACTTGCATATCCCATGTATGTTCACATTTCCCCACATGCAGACACTGCCAGACAGAGATTCTGGGGCCTTTCAAAACTGTGGCTCTCAGTTCTGACAGCCTGTGGATTAGCTATGCCACCCAGAGGTCTTAAATAAGAGGAAATGAGAACTAAGCTTTTTTTTTTCTTAGATAATTAACACAGCCCCCCTCTCATTCTCTCCACAACAAAAGATATAATGGAACAAAGGAATGTGCATATCGCCCTGAAATTAAATGATCATTTAATTTGGTGGAGCTTCTATATTGGTTTCCTGCTTCATTACCCATTTAAAATACTCATTTTTAGACATTGAGAGCCTGCTAGTTCCTCTAACATATACATCTGTGTATTTTTTTTTTTTTTTTTTTGTCTTTTTGAGACAGGGTCTCGATATGCAGTTCAAACTGGCCTTAAGCTCACTTTGTAGCCCAGGCTGGTCTTGAACTCTCATTGATCCTCCTGCCTCAGCCTCCCAAGTGCTGGGATTACAGGTGTGCACCACCACGCCCAGCCTATATTTTCTTTTTTAAATGTATGGGCTTGAATTTTGTTATGATGATGTAGTGGTTTTTCCTATAATAATAATCATCATCATTGACTCTCAGAATAAAGTAAAAGTATTTTAGCCTTTAGTTCTAATTTTGCTTTATTTGGCCTGTAAATATGAAAGGTTGTCTTTAGAGATCTGACATTACTTATTTTTAGTAATATTTTATGATTGTATGCTACATGTCCTACATAAATTTAGAGAGCAAATATCATTCATAAAATGGATAACATTTTTATTGATTCTTACGAGATTAGAGGCTTGCCTTTTGAAAATAAATGTACAATAAAATTTGCTCTTAGGAATTTTGACAAATGTATAGTTTTGCCCATGATCATAGTCATGATACAGAAAAGTTTCATTGTCATAAATTCCTTTTTTATAGTTGTCACTTTACTCACTCTCAACTTTTTTCTTTTTTTTTAAATTACTTTAAAGAGTAAAAGAAGGATAATGTAGTGATAGGGGGACTTACCAAATTACAAAGTGGTAGGAAATTATCAGTGGTTGTTGTTTTACATATTGTTATCTACAAGATAGTTTCTCAGGAAAACAAATAGATAAATAATAGTGAGTTACAGACAAAAGTGGTAGGTTATTATCAATGGTTGTTGTACTGTACTTTGGTATCTTCAAAGTGGCTTCTAAAGAAAATAAATAGAGCTGTACATGAGTGACCTATTGAATAATCATTAACTATTCTCAATGGTTGTTGTAGGAAACACATAATAATAGACATACATCCATTTACGAAATAGTATAGGAACAATACAAACATTACAGAGTTATGGACAGATTCTCACCTCAACTTCTGACCACCACTTATATGTTTACTGTCTTCATAATTTTCTTGCTTAGGTTTTAATTTAAAACATTTACATTTTATAATTGGAACTGTGCTATCCAAATTGCATTATAAAAATTTATAAAATATAAAGGAGAGGAGAGAGCCAAAAAAATCTGATATTAGTATCTGTGTTTAAAAAATGATCAATGATTCATTTTTATGTTACATTTTTTCTTTTCCTAGGTAAAATTAAATATTCAGAAAGAGTCTATGAAGCTTGTATGGAAGCTTTTGATAGCTTGCCCCTTGCTGCACTTTTAAACCAGCAGTTTCTTTGTGTTCATGGTGGACTTTCACCAGAAATCCACACACTGGATGATATTAGGAGAGTGAGTAGAAGCTTCAAATTTTTCTACACTGTCAAGATTAGATAATGGTAAAAATTAATATACTGATAATTTAAAGGAGTTAAATCATTGAGATTTAATCATTGAGATTAATCGTCTTAATCATTGAGAACAATGTAGTACAGTCTGTATTCAAACTAGGCACCATTTTCCTATGTATATTCTGTCCTCACTTTTTGACGAGTTTTTTCTGTTCCTCGTTTATTTCTTTTCTTTCTCTCACAGTTAGATAGATTCAAAGAGCCACCTGCATTTGGACCAATGTGTGACTTGCTATGGTCCGATCCTTCTGAAGATTTTGGAAATGAAAAATCACAAGAACATTTTAGTCACAATACAGTTCGAGGATGTTCCTATTTTTATAAGTAAGGAAAAATATCCAAGATTAATCATATTTTAGTATTTAAAATAGCATATGCTTCATATAAAAGAAAAAACGTTTTACTCTTTTTTTCCCTACAGCTATCCAGCAGTGTGTGAGTTTTTGCAAAACAATAATTTGTTATCGATTATTAGAGCTCATGAGGCTCAAGATGCAGGGTAAGAATTCTATTTCCCTGACCCAAATTAACACCTTAAATACAAATCATACTTAGTAACCATATTTGATGCTTTACGATGCATATTAAGTTATTTGTTTTGCAGCTATAGAATGTACAGAAAAAGTCAAACTACAGGGTTCCCTTCATTAATAACAATTTTTTCGGCACCTAATTACTTAGATGTCTACAATAATAAAGGTAAGATGTTGTTGATAAAAAATTATTAAACAACTTCGCATTTTAATTTACTTATTTTTTGAAAATGTAATAGAAAAGGGGTATTGTTTAAAACTATCCAAATTATAAAAAACTATAAGAGAGAGAAGAAAATAAGAAATAAAAATCCAAAATGTGAAATGAAGTCATTATGATCATTCCACAGCTTGTCACTCACAATAGCTGGTGTGAAAAAGTGCTCTGAGTACATCAAGTAAAATAAACATGATTTTCTTAAACTCACTTTTCTTAATTCTTTCCCTTTATAGTCAAGAGAATGTTTTCTTGTTTGTATAAAGCTGCTGCTGCTGCTTTAACAATTTTATTTGCACCATCTACTTGTTTAGTTTGTTATGTTGTTTTATGTATTTTTTTTCCCCACAGCCTTTATCACTGCCCTATGAAAATTTGTGGTTGGACTTTCTTTGATTAATCCAGTCTAACCACCTTTCAGAGATAAATTCTTGTCTTTTTTTCTTTTTCTTTTGGTAGTATCTGTTTTTAAATCTTCTGTTCCAATGGTTTTTATTTCTTCTCCTTCCCTCCAAATTTGATCTGCCTGTTAATATAGAATTTCATTTTTATTCTGAACATGATTTATTGACAGATGATACAAAGTCTTAGTCTATTTAAATATGTGCCAAGGACATTAAAGGTGAAATTGAATTTACATAGTTTATATCATCAGAGGAGGAAATTAAGAGGCCAGCTCCTAATCTGTCTTGACATGTCTGGAATTCAGTTGGCGATTTCATAGATTCAGTGTCAGACCCAAGTAGACATGCCAAGAAAAAAGAACAGAAGGTTAAAGACTTAAAAGTACATTTAGAAAGATAGTGAGGTCATTGCTAAATATGGGTCATGGTATAAGTTCAAAAGAGGAGCAGAATTTGAGTTTTTTGGATAATGGGAAATGGTGACAAAAAAATGAAAACATTTGTTTAAGATCCAACACATGCTGAATCACTTTGATATAGAATGCAGGAACTTAAACTAAAAAAATGTAGCTTCATTTTTAAAAAGAAACATCATCTAAGTTTTGACTCCATTCCCAAGAACAGAATGGAGTGTTACATTTAATTTTTTTCCAGTGCTTCAGTTTTTATTTTTTATTAGTATGTGTTTACAGTAAGTAATGGTTACATCCCTCATGGGGAGTTGATATGTGTACATAACACATCTTAATTCTTTTTTCATCCCTCTTCCCCTTCACTTCTTACTCCTGCACTCTTAGTCCTTCACCCCCGCCCGCGCCCCCCCCCACCTTTTTTTTGAGACAGGGTCTCGCTATGCAGTTCAGGCTAGCTTTGAGCTCACTTTGTAGCCCAGGCTGGCCTCAAACTTGCAATAATCCTCCTGCCTCAGCCTCCCAAGTGCTGGGATTACAGGTGTGCACCAACATGCCTGGCTGTTTCTCCCATTTGGCAAAAGAGCTATCTCCATATTTTCTATTGTCTATCTTGTATGTTGCTCTTTACTTGTACTTTATATTTCTCATATAAGAAAAACCATGCAATATTTAAGCATGTGAGTATGATTTATTTCACTTAAGATTATAGTCTCTGCCAGTGCTCTTAATTCTGCATTTGTGTCTGTTCTTGTCGCTGTTAAAGGAGCTAGTGTGCATTGTACAGCTGATTACTGCTTTACTGGTTGTCTCTTGTCACTTTGACTCAGGAAACATTTTTTTAAATATTTTTGTAACTCAAACCATTAAATCTGTTTTGTCAAAATCAAATGTCTCTTAGTAGTTATGATTCTGTACATAACTAATGTTAATGTTTTGAATGTTTACATAGTATGGACATGATTGTGATGTTCTTTTGCATTTACAAGACAATTTTCTAGATTTTTTTTTTTGTCTTTTCTTAAATAAGGTTTGAAAACCTGTTACTAGCCCATAGTCTCTGAGGCAAATTTCAAGTATTTTTATTTCAAAAGGGAATTTTATAAGGAGAACAAACATACACTGGTTAAATTAGTAAACAGTAATGTGTAGCAGGACTACTGTATTAGCCAGGATTGCAGATCTTGGAATTTAACATCTGTATTTCAGTGCTTTTCATTAAAGTGAAGGAACAAAAAGTAACCACATAGTTACTGTAATATTGACAAACCATTTTACATTTTTATGTAGTTTCCTATGAGATATATTCTCTGATCTTAAACTTCTGAGATAGGGTGAACATTTTCTAAGTGAGAAACAGATTAAATAATTTACTACACATTCCACAGCCAGTGTGTGCCATAGTTTAGATTAGAAGCTAGCCCTTCTAACCTCTTATTCTGAAAGTAATATAACCAACCAGTGATGTAAATTTATGTAGGCTAATGTAAAATGCGTAATTATATTGACATTGAAACATTAGATACCTGAAATTATGATGGATATATTAACTTTGGATTATTATATTTTATCTTTTGGTTTTTAGCAGAATTTTGTTCTAAATGAAGTAAAGTATTTCTTTCAAGTTGTTTCACCTGATTTTGTATAGTAAATGAAATAAATACATCCATATCCATAAATAAATTAGTGGAGGTTTTGGTTTGTTTGTTTGCTTTATTATCACTTAGCTGTCCTTATCAGATTTCCTAAAGCTAAAAAGAGCCTCTTTTAATTCCTCAGTTTATATGAAATTTAAAAACCTAGAAAATTTCTTATTTCCATTCTGTGCTTCCTTTATAAATTGAGTTTTCACAATTTTGGATTTAGTAAAAGTATATGTTCATATTGGATTATAAAGTAAGATAAACGTTTTGGAAGTAATCTGAAAACTTCATTGAAAAGATCTATTACTGTACATAAAAGTCTGTTAAAAACAAAATGTGTCTTAGTACAAAAGATCAATTTCTGGCTCTCTCTATCAGCCCAGATTCTAATTACCTTTCTCTCTTAAAAAGATAGCTTTCTGCTTTTGTGTATTTTGTAATTTGGAGCCTACAGACTAATTGTTATATTGGCATTCAACTTATCTTGCAGCTGCTGTATTAAAGTATGAAAATAATGTGATGAATATTCGACAGTTTAATTGTTCTCCACATCCTTACTGGTTGCCCAATTTTATGGATGTCTTCACATGGTCTTTACCATTTGTTGGAGAAAAAGGTATGCTTTTTACTTTAAAAGAATCAAGAATTATATTATTGCCTTTACATTTACTCCAGTTTACTATCACAGGCATATACTTGCTAAAGGAAACTTAAGTCTGGTTGTACTGTGGTTACAGCTCTGCTTGTGTCTGTGGGTGTGAGTGTGGATATGAGAGCTTCAAAGATATTTTCGTTAGCTGTTTACAGCCCCCATGTGAGGGTGTCTGGGGGACTGGAAGAAGGCTTATAAATAACCTGATGTTGTCTTCAGCTGTTGGGTTTTCTTCCTTTTTATCTTTAGTTTAAATATTTTATGGAGGGGTAGCTTTGCTTTGGGATGGATCCTACAAATTTTAACACCAGTTTTGAGGATGCCGTGGACATTTATGGTAGAATTTGATAGCCCTTGTTTTCACAATGTTAGTCATTTTATAGCATTTCTGTGCTCTAAGAGAAATGATAAAGAACATTCCAGGTTCTAACCTGATATTTCTTTTCCTGTATCAAGAATATGTATAGAATTTTAGTAGTGATACTTTTCTGATAATTTAGGGGACTTCTATTAGATTCAAACTTACAATCTTTTTAAGAGAAAATAAACGCTATTTAAAAATTTTTTGTTTCTTTTACTTTTAGTTCTGTAGAATTCTTAGAATTTTGTTACCTATTATGTTTTCTTTTTCATTTTAGTGTATTTTTGTTTGTTTTTGTTTTTTGAGACAGGGTCACTATGTAGTCTAGGCTGGCCTTGAAGTCACTCTGTAGCCAAGACTGGCCTCATACTTGCGGTGATCCTCCTGCTTCAGCCTCCCAAGTGCTGGGATTACAGGCATGCGCCACAATGCCCAGCCTTTAGTGTTACTTTTCCCATGAGGCAATGCCTTAGTTTTCATATGTGGCATATGGTAGTATGAGAGTACAAATATGATTATAAAACATTTTGTTCTATGTCCCCCTCTATTTTTTCCCACCTTTTCTATGTTACAGAATGTTCCTTTCTTTATGATAGTCACTTCTGCCAAGGCAATTTTTGGCTCTAAAATTCAAAATTAATACTTGCCTTCAGTCATCTTCATTTACTGTGAAGGTCTAATGTTAAGTTAATATGCAGATAGAATTACCTGCTTTAGCATTTGAGAAGATGACCAGTTAAGGGCTTAGGTGCAAGGGATGCATTACACTTAACAAGCTTCTATCTTTGGTATATGAGAAATAGTTCAATCATAGCATCATGAGGCTAAAGGGAATTTAAGAATTCATCTTGGTCACTCTCTTGCCTCCAGACTCGATTGCAACTCAGCTATTTTAATGTAATATGGGAAGGGTGTAAGGGGGCCAGGAAGAAAATAAGGTAGGAGGAAAATGGATATTTTGTAGATTTGAATTTGATTCCCTGAGGCCTCAACATAAAATATTTCATTATATCTAATTTAAATGTTTGTATAATGAGTGTTTAAAAAAACAGACATAATGGATTTTTCTCAGTATACCGGTCAAAACTAATAGATTTTTCTCAGTAGACTGATCAAAAACTAGGGTATCGAAGAGTTTTAGGGTTCATCAGTGAACTCAGTAACTATGTAGTCCACTACATTTTGAGAAATGAGAAAGTTTAATATGGTTTCTGTGGCTCTATAAGTTAAGATGGAAAATAGTAAGCTTCTGTTGTCCTTCCCACATTTGAATTCTAAGTGATCTTTGTCTTCTTTTGCCACTCTATCTTATCTCTTGTAAAATACATATAGAAGTATTTAAACCTTTTGACTATTTGTGTGGTCTGTGAATCTTCTCTAAATTAAAAAAAGTAAAGGTCACTATTTTATTTTATTTTATTTTATTGTATTGTATTGTATTCATTTATTTATGTCTTTTTTAGACAGGGTCTCGCTATGCAGTTCAGCCTGGCTTTAAGCTCACTTTGTAGCCCAGGCTGTTCTCAAATTCACAATGATCCTCCTGCCTCAGCCTCCCAAGTGCTGGGATTACAGGGATATGTCACCACACCCATCTTAAAGCTCACGTTTTAATGCTATGAACAAATAGAATCCTAATCAATTTTAAGCAGTCATAAAATTTTTTGTCAGGGCCGGGGTTATAGCTCAGCGGCATAAGCGCCTGCCATTGCAAGCGCAAGTTCCTGAGTTCGATTCCTGGCTCCAAAAAAAAAAAATTGCTTTTGTCAAACTCCTTGCATATTTGATATTTTAATACATGATAGATGTTTAGATAACGTAACTATGTCTTGATTATAATTTTTCTTGGTGAAAATCGGCAAGTGACATTCCATTTGTTTTATTTTCAAACAGCTAGCTTACCTTTGGTCTAGTCTCTGGAAAGCTACTAACCTAAGCCAGGGGCTTCCTAAGAGGATGGTTTAAACTTAGATGAAAGCAGAGAGTTTCTTTAACTTTTGCGGGGCTAAGAGCCCCTGTTAAATTTCTTTTTCTGAGACAGGGTCTTGCAATGTAGTTCAGACTGTCTTTGATCTCACTGTGTAGCCCAATCTAGCCTCAAACTTATGGTAATTCTCCTACCTCAGCCACCATGCCCAGTTTAAAAGCAATCTTAAATTGGAAAACTATGAACATGATGTGAATTCTTATGTACTCATTACTCATCGCCAGCAATTACCAAATTCATGGCTATTGGCCAATCTTACATCATTTAAATACCCATCCACTCTTCCCTTCCCTACACCCAAATGATTTTGAAACAAATCTCAACTAGTATTTTTTGTATCTTTAAGTATTTCAAAGTGTATCTCTAAGAGATGAAATTAATTTTCTAAAATACACATAAAAGCACTCACTGGGGCAGGAAATATAGCTCAGTGGCACAAGTGCCTGCCTGGCAAGCAGAAGGTCCTGAGTTCAATTCCCAGTACCCCCCCGCAAAAAGAAAGAAAAGCTCTCACCAATTTCTTAAAACACAATTGTTTTGAAAAAGAAAACACATGTACAAGTATATGTGCAGGCATAGAACATTTTTAGTATGCTTACAGGTCTGAAGTGAATTGTTTTATTGGTCCTGTAATATAAGAACCTCTGCTCTGGAGAATCAAATATAGTGTGATTTATGTATGTCATGTAAGTCTCTTTTAATAGAGCTTTGTTCGTTTGTTTTGAGATGGGGTCTTGTTATGTTGCCCAGGCTGGCCTCAAATTTGTGATCCTCCTGCCTCCTAAGTAGCTGGAACCATAGGTTCATGCCATAATACTTGGCTGCTAGGTTTTTCTTTTTTTGAAAGTCTCTTTCCAAGATACTAAAAATGTAAAGATAAAATAAGAGGTGGGACTTTGCTGGTTAATTGGGGACTTGAAATATATAAATAATGATAATAAGATGTAATATGGTATGTATTCCTAGACAAGGATGGTTTTAAGAGGAGAGAATTAAGGAATTTGATTGTTTTTGTAAAGATTAAATTAGCTGTTTGGGAGAATTTTGTTTGTGGATATGAGCCATAAAATTCTAGGTAAGAGAACTTTGCATGCCTCTGTCTGAAAATAAAATAGTATAGGTCTCTTTGACAAATGTTGAGGGGTTCAGCTTGATTTGTTAATAGGATGGATGAAAGACTATCATAGAAAAATAATAAAAAGTTAGATCATTAACTAGATTATAAAGATCTTGATCTCCACACAGAGAGTTGGAGCTTTGATAAATGATGACCAACCAATGAAACAAATGTGACCATGGTAGTCATTTAGAAAAATTACTGGGCTGAGCATATAGCTCAGTGGTAGATGCTTGTCTAGCATGCTCAAGGCCCTGTGTTTAATCTCCAGCACCAGGAAAAAAAAAAGAAAAATTGCTGTGGTGAAATGAATTGGGTGGAAGGAAGACTAAAGCCTGGGAGACCCTGTTAGGAAGCTACATCAGAAGTCAAATAGAGACATAATGAAGCTTTTGTGGAACTAGGAACGGAAACATGAAAAACCAAAAGAAGTAGAAAACATGAAAAACCAAAACTGTAGAAGTAGAAATCAGACTTAACAAGATTGCAGGTTTAAGAAGAAGGAATGGTTGAAGATGAATTGTGTATTTTGAGTCTAGTAAAGATGGTACCATTAACATGCTAATAAGAAAACTCTTACTGCAACCTTTCACGCTGGTATAGCAGCTCTTCCTTTTCATTGGGATCTCTAGGCCTTCAGGGGTTCTTCCTTCGTTGCTTTCTCTCTCTGTCCCCTTTCTCTTACTCTTTCTTTTCCTTCCTTCCTTCCTTCCTTCCTTCGAGTTTGAACCCAAGACTTTGTACATGCCAGGCAGGCAGTCTACCATTGAGCTGCATCCCCAGCTCATTTTCTTGATAGCTGAATTTCTTCTTGCCTTTCTTCCTTCTTAACACACTCTTAAACTCTTTCTCTCTTGTTTGTGTACTTTATTTGTCCTATAAATCTTAGATTTAGTAAGTCCAACCATTCACTTTCTCCATTTTCACAGCTTGGGTATGGAGCACTACTGGAGATACTTATATAACCTTATGCATTGATGCTACCTCTTAATTTTTTTTTTTTTAATTTTAAAGAGTAAAAGAAGGATAACATAGTAAGAGGGGGGACTTAGCAAATTACAGACA